ACAGATCATTGGTTTAGTAACTCATAAGTATCTTAATGTTCTCTGCACTGATAAAGTTCAACTCTCCTCGACCGAAATAGTCATTTCCATTTTTCACTCTGGTTATTATGGTCAGTTCTCGCATTATTCTAAATGGGGCGGTTGTTGCTAATCTATTTTGTAGATTTTTGTGGTGGTGTAAATGTACATTTTTGACGAGCCTGAAAAATTAAACATTGTTTCTTGGGAAAATTGTTTCTGAGTTATTTGTGCATATGTTTACAGTATGTACCCTAGATGTGTGATCGAAACTTCAATACCCTGTACTTTAGGCATGGACCTTACGCCGAACTCAGATGCTGAATTACGTGGTGAAACATGGTCAGTCGTCAGCGACATCGCTTGGCGTCATTGCGTTGATATACAGCGGCTTTGGGGTTCTGCTGTCTTACGTCCGAGGAGCTGATGATGAACTGAACACCCTGGCCGCTGGAACCGCTACCGGACTGCTGTATAAGTCGACATCGGGACTAAGGCGATGTGCCATTGGAGGCGGGGTCGGCTTCGCTCTGGCCGCTGCCTACAGTTTATACGCCAGTGGCGATCGTTTGAGGCAGATCTTCGGGTTCCGAAACAAGTTGTCTTCGTACTGATGATTCACTACTTTCTTTACGACGACTTACATAAGCAGTAGTTTCTTATTCTTCAATCTTTGGCCGAGCGAACGTTAATATTTTGCTAGTTTCGCTATTGAATGTTTCAGACGTTTGGTTATAGTCGCCATCTTTTCGTGAGGAATAAAACTTTGTCGCTTTGCCACTGAGTTTTTCATGCTTCAAACTTGAGTGACCTTGATGTGAATTATCGAATGTCATGATCAATTTCGTTGATGTAACTGCTTTTTTCTGCTGCCATTTTTCGGTGCGTATCTCATACTCTGTTTGCTCGGTGAATAGATCATGTTGGACTAAAAGGTCACGGATAAGTCACGTCATGTCACACTGAAGCATGTGGCACCTCTGGTCCACGGTTGTGCCCCAACTGCACAATGTGTAAGCATGTTAGGTGGCCCCAGAAGTTGTTTACCTGCTGAATGCTACGGATTGGCCATTTTAACAAGTCACGTGAACATGTGGTTTATGTGGAGTAACTCATCAGAGTATCAGCAGGTGAGTAATATATCTGGCAATTATATTATTGCATGCTTATCATGGATGCAGTATTAGTGGAACCGGATTAATTAGCCTCTGAGATTCCGGAACGGTATATTATTCCGTCAGGCTTTGTGAGGATAATTCTTGATTGTTGATGTACGAGTTCTGGACGTGTTTAGATGGAGTCCGAGAGCAGAAGGGTATTGGCATGTGCTCGAAATGCCATCCTTGTATTTTCTCTGCTTTTCAGACGACTTTAGTGTTCCCAGTGCATCACTATCATGGACAACGTGTGAATTTAAGGGAAGGTCGATTGCATAACCACTAGCTACAGTGATAAAGAACACAAAAAATGGGAAGAAAGAAAAGAAAGTTAGCCGCCGTTGGAATGTCTATCTTCCGTTTCTGAGTCATTAGCAAGGATTGCCTTATTTTTTACGGCAGAGTCTACAGCCGTCTGGCAAACGTAGCCTGTAGTCATTTCTTTCTTTTCCACAGAGTGGCACTCGTTTTATCAACCTCAGAGAACGAACCCAAATGACCTCAATCGGGGCTTGGACTCAAGACCTGTCGGTTTGGAGTTGAACGTCCTACCGACTGAGCGACTCCGTTTTGAAGCAACGTGTGGTAAATTCCTTGCTTCAGGGAATTCTTGAATAAGACTAAGATTGCCTTCGAACGGAATCAAACCCGAAACCTCCGGAGTTCGAAGCAGACCTGTTAGATAGCTGCGCCAACACGCCACAAGAGAAACAGATGGAGCCTGAAGTACTTTGAGATTATTTTGCAAGCCACTGGGAATTTTGTGTTATCCTTCCTGATTTTCGAAATAATAGCTTCAAAGAAAAAGCTTTTGAATATACTTTATTGAATAAACCCAGCAGTCTGGTTTCCGGCTTAGTGTCATCTCATAAACGTTATTGCATACTGGTACTGCTGTGGGACAAATTCACGATCCGATCCAGTCAATTACACGACGGTTTAATCTGCTGTAAATCAGACGACACGTAACCAGTATAACTCAGTGTATGCCAGAAGTGAGTTTTAGCGTTCAAACTGAAATTTAAAGCGCCTTTGTTATGTCGCAGTTAATATGAAATCATCGCGACACTTTCATTGGCCTGATTCCGTCAAGTTTCTATTGAATTGTCCTGTTGTGTATATCTTCTGTCTTGTTTATTGTATTGTTTTGTTTTCTGCTTCACATTCTGCAAATTTTCTGAGAGCTCGGTAGATCTTACGTAACAGTTATGGCAATAAACCTTAAGTGTCTGAGTGACTTGGTCGTGAAAGAATGCAATGGTGTCTAGTTCGTTGACGACACTTCGATTCGAGTACTTTAGTTCAGTGAAATATTCTAAATATCAAATAATCGAATGGAGTTAATGACAGTAAGTAATGACTTACGCAAAACTTAAATAATATATTAGCAGAATTGGATAAAGGATATGATAACTTAACTTATACATAACTTTGATTAAGCGACATGCGTATGTACAGAGACCGGGGCGGATAGTGCATGATCTGAGACTGAATTTGCAGACAGATAGAGCACTCAATTAACTTGCAATTAGAATCTCTTTATCTTGGAACTTAACCGAAGACCCCAGGGATGGCAGAAATTAAATGAGACAAGCTTATCGAAGGAATCTGCTCTAGGCAATGGTTGTCTTCTGTCGAAGCTCAAATGCTGGCACAGGGTCAGGAGCGTTGGAAGCACTATCTGTTGCGACTCGAAGATAGAAGCGATTGTGAATGATGATTGATTGCACTCGTTAAATCATTATCATTGTTTGTCAGTGCGAGGGATTCCCGCAATCAGTGGTTATACGCACCGAGCTCTGTTAGTGGCCTAGTACGTAAATAGTCGGCTTCGAACTCTGGCAGTACAGGTTTTGATTCCGGCAGGAGGCAATCTTTGTCGCAAACACGAATTTTTTTAGACACAAAGTTTACCACACGTTTCTTACTCCGGACTTGCTTAGACTGTAGTGTGTCGCAACCGGCACTTCCTGAGGTTCGAACCCAGTTGGGTTCACCGCTCTTGTTCTTTCTTATGTTAATAAATGCGTACCATTCTTTTGGATGGAAACAGAAGATAGTGCACTCTGCTTGTCATATATCGATATATAACTACATCAATGCCTGTCATGTAACTCTGTGCACTCGTAGTTGATCGCATGGAATTGGGGATCATGCCTTGTCATTAACTTCATAAAAGGAATAGCCCCGGAATGGCCTCATCATTACCGCGACATTCCAATAGTTACAAACTTTTCCTTCATTTCCTGATTAATGATCAGACTTAACAGAGATGGGTTGCTCTGCTCTTCAAGCTTTATTAACCTTAGACGACGAAGGAAACCTTTGTCTTCCTTGCCCCATTCCCAAAAAAGGCATTAATGTAGCATTATTGAATCATAACTACTGTTTTCTGCGACAATCTTTGAACCTGTTCGACGTTTTTATCTCTTCTGTTGGAATCTGCATGGTTCATCATCGAAAGCGAGTGATCAAGATATTAATTATTACGACAGTGTCATCATCCATGGCGATTGTGGATTCTGGAGTTTGCGGCTTTCACTGCTCGGAAACCGGCTGGGAAGCTTAGGAAACCTCTTCGTCCATGTGCCATAGTTTCTCTGCCACTAAGAAGGCTACGGTTAATGGGGAAGGATGGACTTTATGGAGAATATTTGCAGTAGCAGCAGTAACACTACGCAGGAACTTCTGTATCAGTATGGCTACGTAGCCACATACTGCGGTGCTACATTAATTCACCGTTCTGGTTATAAAGGACAGTCTGTACTGTTCGTTTAACTGGCGAAATCCTACCACCTGATCTTAAGGAGCTACCTCTTATTCCCTATATGAAAGGCCTAAAAGTTATTCCCGTCCATTTTCTGCATTGTCTAGGTCTCAGCTTTATACAGCAGCTCTGGTAAAACGGGGGCTTTTAGATCGATGGTCGAAACATTGCAAGTAGTTTGTTTACGATCTCAATTTCTACTCTACTTAAGCTTTTGTTTGTTATCTGGAAAGCTCATTTTAATTTAGCCAGCTGTTAGTATATTACATTGAGGTCTGAACTCTCTGAGGATCTCGAGAGTCAAAGCTATCTAAAATAACTGACCAGTTGTTACCAGAGGCATTGCAGTTAAAAATCGAAAGTTTGAGGTAATCGTTTATTAAACTTTCTTGTAGGAGTTTTTTATTTTAGTCCGTAATTTATCTAGGGACTTTTCTTGATGTGTGATTAAGATGTTCAAACTTAAAGGAAGTGAAAAGTTTTGCCAACCGTTGACGTGTTTCAGTAATCATTGCATCATCAGGACAGAATATCAAATTATGTTGGTACGCCGGAATATGTCAAATAGCGCATAACTCCTCCAAGAACGGGATTCTCGGCATATTGCACCGCCTTTTGTTCGTATTTCCTGGAGGAAGGGGACCATTTAAGCATGTCCTTTCTTTGTTGTGTTTGAACACCTCTGGTGCCAGGTGCATCGCAGTGAAGTTTGGTCTTGTAAGAGTTCTACTTTATCTGACGTAACCAGGCGTGCGAACACAAGTTGATATTTAGGCGGTACCATATGAGAAATACCATCTTCTGAAGTATCGTCCTGTTGAGCTCTAGGTGGCTCCATTGAACAAAATGATCCGAGGTGCATCCGTCTATGCAGGAGCTCCAATATCTCTCATGCAACTAAGAAAGGGTGCAATTTGCTATAAAATCTGGTCTTGAATGAGTTATGTGTTATCTTTCCAGGACTGAATAAACTAAAATCTCAAGTGAAAGTTTTAGCTGAATAGCGATTTAAATTACACAATCCTGAGTGACAGTGTGTTATTACTCTCTGCATAGCAGTTTTTACTTACATCAAAGAACGAAGAGTATTTATTTCATATTGGGTATTTTCGCACCAAAATATTAACGGACTGCTTTATTAATAATCTTAATCTGTAGATCACCGAAACACTCTCAAACGAATGTTCCTGAATCAAGGTCTGTTATTTAGTAAAAATCGAATGACCTTTTCGCAAACACTCTTTATTTCTGAAACGCACCATTTCCCAAGCCGCCGTCCTGTGCTACCTTCGTGTAATTAATGGCACAGAGCTGTTCCGTGATTTGTGTTTACTGTTAGCGCAACTTTAGCGCTTGGTGAATGCAATTAGACGTGTGCAATTGAAATCCGCGCATTAGAAGGTAAGCTAGTGCTTGCCAGGTTTCTCGATGTTCATCTCATGTAGAGAGCTACTCAATTTTATGTACCCAGAAATCGGATGATAGTCTTATACGATCATCGACTAGCGATCAGTACGGACCTCGGTGCACCGCGCAGACGCAAGTTGACCCTTAATTGTAGGAAAGGGTCAACAGGACAGTGCCAAACTGCGAC